TTGATTAAATCGATGGTTAATGTATCTTCTGTGTGTAAAAGACAGTAAATCATTCTTTACTGTATTTAATTCACTTTGAAATTTACTAACGTTTTCCATTTGTACGTCTTGCCACTGTTGTTGACTTTCCTGTAACTGTTGGAGACTTTCTCCCCGTTTCCTTTCTTGTTCCAGTTGGCACTGCTGTAATCTCTCTTCTTGTTTATTTTTCTGGTCGAGCTGTGCTTAAGTTAAAGTTACTGTGGACATTAAGTGTATTACAAAGTTTGTAACGAGAAAGAATAAACTAGTTTTATTAAAGAAAGGACTTGTATCGCTGAAGTTTCTCAGAAAGAATTTCTATGGAAAATTAACAAATGAACACAGACGTAACAATATTAATACCACTCCCAGAACTAGCCAAGGACAGTGAGTGCTTTGTTGGATTCAGGACAATGTAGGTTAAAGTACCTGGGTTCTATCCCTTAATTGATTATCACTAGCAAGTGCCTTGGTTTTGCACCAACATAAATGTTGAATAACTGAAGAAACTGGATATCCCAATGTTATTTGGGTGCTATCATACAGTATTTTACAACAACAAAATGGTAACCTTGTATTTTTATAATTGTTAGAATTTTTTTCTTATCAATGTATGATTTTGTTATTAGTGTTGTTTTCACTGTTTTGTCATACTGATTTATATTGCCCACATACAGTTGATGCAGTACTGTTTTTGTTTACTAATATTTATATATGTTAACATATATTAATCTATTTGTTTTCTAAAACTAATTTTCCATTGACTATACTTAACTGCATTAGATTTTATAAAAAGTGGACTTCATTTACAATTATGTGATGATATATATATATTTCATTTTTACTGGTTTTCTAACAAGTTGGTATATGAAGCCAAATTCTTTTTTTTTTTTATTGTAACAAAATGGTAATCCTAAGACAGGTTTTTATTCTTTATTACTATGCATTATATTGCTCACTATACACCATTTGATCTATTTGTTGAATACATTGTTCACTTTTGGAAAGTAAAAAGTTGATATATTTTCATTAAAGTATAATTTTGACATAATTCAATTGTCATAAGTTTATTTCAGGATCATAGAGATGAGTGCATAAATAGTTCAGACATTACAGCACATCAGTTGTATTGTTATTTATAACCTAACTTCATCCAATTTCATTAGAGACAATATAAACATTTTTAAGAAGTATTACACAATTTTATATGATATATCCATAGTTTCCATTTTTGATCAAGTTCATACAAAAACACTATCATGGCATTTAAGGATGCTTTGCTGCAAAAATTTTTACCAGTCTTACTAAGATGTATTGTAATATAAATTATATTGTGCACCAAATCTGTGATGTCTAATGTGGGTTAAAATACCTGGTTCCTACTCCTTAACTGATTATCATTTTCAAGTGCCTTGGTTTTGCATCAACATTCATGTTGAAGAACTGAAGAGATGGAATATCCCCATTGTTATTTGGGTGCTATCATAGTTCTTTATTTATATTTTTCTGCTTCACACCAGTAGAAGACTATTTAGGAACTGCTTCTACACTCACTGTGCACCCAACTGATTTCTAATGTGTATGTAGTGATATAATTAATACTGTGCATTCAACATGTCTAATGTGTGTGTTTGTTTTTCTGTGAAGTAATGTAAGTAATACTGTGCACTCAACCTATGATGTATAATATATGTGGTGATTTAAATGATACTGTACACCCAACTGATTTTTAGTTGTAGTACTTTTTTGTAATTTATGCAACTTGTTACAAATTACAATGTTTAAGTAATGTCACCAGTATTAATAACTTAAGCCATTCAATATTCTATACAGTGCTTCATAAACACTGTAATTTTCTTCCCTCAAGTTACCGCGTTGCTAACGAAGGAGCAAATCCTTGGCGTACAATGAGTGTCCCAGATGGTGCTACTACTTTTACTTTATATCGTCTGGATCCAGACACTGAGTATGAATTCAGAGTACAATCTAGAAATGCTCTTGGAAAAGGCATGTACAGTGCAGTTATTAGAGCCAAAACTAGTAGTAAGTACAATTGTATGTTTTTGGTTTGGTTTGATTTTGTTCAAAGCTACACAAGTATTATGTGCACTTTCCATCCCTAATTTAGCAATAATAGACTAGAGGGAAGGCAGCTAGTCAACACCATCCACTTCCAACTCTCGGGCTACTCTTTTACCAATGAATAGTAGGATTGACTGTCAAATCATTATGCCCCCATGGCTGAAAGGGCGAGCATGTTAGGTGTGATGGGGATCTGAACCCATGACCCTCAGATTGAGAGTTGAGAGCCCTAACCACCAGGCCATATGATTTTGTAACTTATTATAAATTATGTAATAACTTCTTCCAGAAGAGCTGCTAAAATTCTTCAATAAAAATTACAGTTAGAAATAATTAGTATTAATTTTAAGTAATCGGGAAACCATAAAATGATTCAATCACTATAATAGCAAAAAAGAATCAGTTGCCAGAAACAAAAAAAATTAATACACCCTGTATATTAAGATTATGATTTATAAACATTTTAAAAACATGATATGCTTAGAAAATTATATTTTATGGTTAATTAAATGGCTATGCAAAATAAACAGGCATGAATAATTGACATTGTGAAGCCATTCACACCAGAATCCCTGTGTAATATGTAAGATGCAAAATGTGTATTTAGAATGATGGTGGATATAACTATTAATGAGTTAACTTAAAGCTGGTAGATTACTTTTGCATCATTTATGTGAATTTCATCCCTGCATGCTACCTACCACTTTTCCTTTCAGAACTCTCCTTTTTTTTTTGCATAAATAATTAATAGCTTTTTATTTCATTTTTCTGCTTCACACCAGCAGAAGACTTTTTAGGAAATTCTTCTACACCTACTACTGATAATGGTGCTCCTCCCAATGGCCCTGTACAAAAGCCTTTGGGTAAGCCTATTTTTAGTTGTTATTTTATTGCTTCCTTTTTTCAGTGATTTTTACCTTCAGTTTTATTTTTGTTTTGTTTCACATTTTTAAAAATATGTTGTGTAATAAAAAATCTTCTGCCTAAATATTCAATTTTTTAATAAAATTTTTGAAATGTTAATTTTAAATAAATATTACATTAATTTGAACAGTTTCTTTTTAGGCAATTTCAAATCTTAAAACCTTTACATATGTATTTCTTTTACATAAATTTAACTTCTAAGTTAAGTGTGCTCACCTTTTCATTCACTGTTTCACTGACTTTTTTCTCCAGAGATATTCTGCTGTTCTTTCTTGAGTGTTCTGAAAGACTTGTATTTTTACAGGCCCCAAACCATTTTCGCCAGAAGATATCATAGTCAAGAAAAGAGCTGATGGGGTGCTCATTTTGTGGAAACCACCATTTGACCAAACAATCCCTGTGGCCTTTTATTATGTGGAATATCGTGTTGAATCAGAACCATGGAAACGTTGGGGACCTATCAAAGATAGAACTTCTTATTTAGGTTAGTGTTGAAATAACTGTCATAAGCTGAGATTTTTTTTTGTTGTTGCTAAAAAAAATTTTAAACTTGAAAACTTCTTTTTATATTCAACTAACCTTTTCACTCAAAAGATCTATAGATTTAATCTCAAATTTTGGTCTAAATTCCATTCCTTTGGCAAATTTTAATTCACATTTTAAAATAATTTGTTTATTATAATTTCGAGCTATTAACTGTTTTTTTTGTTTTATAAATAACTGATTTATAAATAGCATTTCAGCTAAGGCTTGTGTGGTGACTGAGAAAGTGCTAGGTCTCATCAGAATCCACATACAACAAACATAGTGCAGTTGAAATGCTATTAGATACACTTGTGTTATTTGAGCCATCAAAGAATAATGTAGTTTATATTATTATCATTCTTATTGTGATGTGTTAACACACTCATGTTACTACTAGTTGTCAGGTTCTAACAGTTAGTGTTCTACAACCTAGCACTTTGTATGTTATAATCCAGTTAGATTTATAAGCTTTGGTTTTCAATGGAAGGCCACTTTGGCAATGGTGTACAACAAGCATTGAAATGAAAAGTGTTGAAATGCCATTATACTCTTCTTACTATAAACCTATAATGGGCCAGTAATAAATGATATGATTTAATCTATTAAGAGTTTTATTGTGATGATTTAATATCATACACACTTTACCACTATAGAAATTAACTTCATTTGTGTAAAGAGCTCTTTCATAATACAATAAGAAATGTTGTTAAGGATCTTGCAGTTACACGTTAATATCTAATTATGCAGTCTTATTCTTTCAACTGAAAAATCAAGTTAATTTCTCTCAAAATTAGGAAAATGTGTGCATTAAAATTGTAGACTTTCATCAAACTATACTTAATTCAGCTCTTTAGATATTATAAATTGTTAGATGTTTCTAGTTTTTATTACACAGACTCAACAAATTCAAACATTAATTTTGGTAAGATTATATGTTTACTTTTATTTATTTGAAAATTTTGTAGGCTACAGTTGATATTGGACGTTCTGAATACTCTTTAGCACTGCAAGGAGGACCATAACCCTCACATATCCCTTGTTAATCCTGCACTCATTAAAATTATTGAGACATGGAAAATATTAGTAACATAACCACTGTTAAACTAAATGCTAATAATAGAAAACAAATGCTATTTATGTTTTTTAAGTAAAAATATTTACATAAAAAAAAGATTTTCATGATACTTTAAATATCTCCATAACCTAAACTTAACAAATTAAATGGTAGTTAATTCTGTTGAAAATGACATCACAAACTCCAAAATAAGTTGTGCTACAAAAAACCCAGAACAGAGAAAAACATTTAATCATCACAAAAATAAAAAAAAACTCATTATGTAATACCGATAATAACTAGTTTCATTTATTTTGAGGTAAATGTTTCATTGTTTTAAATCTAAAATTCTTTTAAGCAGCATTTGGTTTAGCAGATGTTGGGATGGTGATTATTCAAAACGTGTTTTTATTTTTATCCTAAGTGAATAGGTATATACAAGTAATCAAGTAACTGAGACTATAATACTGTATCATGTTTGTGTGATATAAGTTATATACATGTATGTGTGTATTTATAATAAATTCTTATTTTTACATATGTCTGTGTTTCACATCTGTTATTTGTCAGAATATTTTATGAAAAACTGAACATGTATCTTAATTGTATGTAGAAGCATACAAAAATAAGCCAATGATCTGATAACACCCAGTATTAGTTATTAAGGTAAAAAAGGAGTAGGAACATTTTCTCAAATACTCTTGTTCTTTTAAATGGATAATATTATCAGCTAAGGCCTTTCAAACACTCAAGATCAACTTATCTTTGCATTTGGGGCCCTCTTTTCTAAAACACTGAAGAACTAAAGATGCAGTAATAGGTGATATTGTACCAACTAATAATTTCAAATATTTAATTTTCATATAATATATTTCATTTATTTTGTGTATATTCATATCAGGATGGATGATTTAAGTTGTTAAATAAGTTGAGTATTTTATTTTTATACTTTTTTATTGGCACTGTAGCAAAGAAGGTTCCCCCTGGTACGTACAAGTTCCGGGTATGGGCTTATTCCAATAAAGAAATAGGCTCACCTAGTCCTGAAATTTCTTTGACTATTGAAGGTAATGTAATTTTTCTTTAAATGTTTGCATATGGCAGTGCCATATGAATAACTTATGACTGAGAGACCTTGAGATTTACTATAGTATACTTACTGTTTTTATAATACATTGAGTATGTTTGTAGATATGCTTATACATAGTATCTGAATCAAATATTTTAAAATGCTTTGGTATTAAACTGATTTTAGTTTATTACTTGCCACTTTATTAAAAAGTGAGTTTATAAAACAGAGTTGAAACTAAATAATGAATCATTTTCACTTTTTTAAATCCATACTGTAAATAATAACATTTTAATATGCATATACTACAAAAATAATGTAAATATCTATATCCTTGTCATTTCAAATCTGTTTAAAAATGCTTTTCTTTGGAAATATAAATTTGCCTAGACTAAAAGTATTATTAAATATAACAGTAATAGATAAAGTGCTCTGAGTAATAACATAAAAACATCTGGAAAGTTTTAAATGTCAGTACTCAGAATATGCTACCTACTATTAAAACAGTTTCCAGGTACAAGAAGATTTTTTTCTACTCTGTTTTAATGTATGCCAAATACAAGTACTGAAGCATTGTGTTAGTTTGGTATGTTTTAGTTACATGTGTATAGATAAGAAATGGCTTGATTTATTATAAAAAGTGAAACAAATGAAAGAAACAATAAAATTTTATGAAATCTTGAATTTATTCTCTCACTTAAGACACTATATGTTGTATACTTTGCATTTTAGTTATTTTGTATTCGAGTAAAGGTTGTTCTTAATGAATTCATGTTTCAAAAAATATTAATGGATCTTAGGTGTCAGCCCTGAAGTCACAAAAAGCCGGGCTATTACTGCTGGAGTGGTAGGAGGAATCTTGTTTCTCATAGCAGCCATCGTTTTATCTGTGTGTGCAGTCAAAATATGCAATAAAAGAAAGCGACGAAAAGCTGAAAAAGGTGCTTTATCTGTTGTTTTTGTTCTAAAATAAAAATTTGCAAGTATGTTTAATTTTTATGTAAATTTAAAAAATGAAATATTTGTGGGAACTGTAAAGATTTTTGTTTTTATCCAAAATGAAATTTTCTTATGAAGAACAAAGTTGACAATGGAAAAAGTCCCTGAATTACATTTTAATTAACTGTTATGTAAGGATATAAAGTATTCTCTCCTAAGAAGCTATAAAGAATTAACTTGTAATAGAAATAGTTTTACTTTAGAATTGTTTTTTCAAGTGCTTTTTTTACTCCAGAGAGAGTATCAGGCAGAAGCAAGTATTATACATGGAATAACTCGCACAAAACCAAAAAATATTTATTCCCCAAAAGTGTGTTTGTAAAGTATTCCTTTTTGTTGGTGAAATCCATTTAATACATGAAGTATCTGAAGTCTAACAAATAAATTAAATATTCTGTTCTGTGTTTCAGCTTATATGATGGTTACATGTCCAGTTACAGATGCCAGGAATGGGGGTCATTCTCATGGGGGAAGCCCTTCACCTCTGAAAAAGTAACTTTATATTTTTACAAGTATATGATACATGTATGACAAGAATGTGTTAGTTGTGACCTACTGTTGAACTTAGCATCTTAAATAAACTGAGTAGTAGAACCTGAGTAATGAAATATGATATAAAATCAACCTAAACTCAAGAAAACATTTAAAAATACCCTTTTTTGTTCTACAAAACACCTTCAAATCTGACACAGAATACTACCACCAAAACAAGGTAGTGGCAATGGGTAGTAGAATGGCTGTCTCTTACACAGTCAAATTCATGTATACAATCAGTCATAAAGCACTTAAACAGTATTATAAGAAGTCTTTTTAACCTTACATGTGAGTTAGTCTCATCGATAGCATTTTTTACAATATGAAATTGTGAACCAGAGACATTAATTTCCATAAATTCCTAAATGTCTTCATCCTGACATTATATTTACATTTAATCATTCAGTCCAAATTAATTCACTTGATTTTATGGATATATGTATCACAAAAGAGAAAAATGAACTTTCAACCAGTTTTTACAAAAAGACAATGCTACAAACCTATATTTTTTCATTTCAAATCACACCACCATATGCACATCAAACAAACACTATCTTTGGTCAACTCACAAACTTAATTAGTTCCAGTTTAAGTACAAAAAATGCAGTAGTCTCAGAACTTCAAAATTTTCTGTAATCATTAATGGTTACCCAAAAATATTATATTCAACATTGTCAATGAATATGTAAGAAATTAACTCTATACAACAGGAACCTTTATCCCTCTTATTTAACTAAACCATATTTATACTTATTATTCCATACAAGAACCCAAATATTTCTATCAAAATTTCAGTTTTTCTTTCATCAGTGAGTAGTTATAATTCTCTCTTTTCAGTTTTTCTTTTTACTTCCACTGACTATTTTTCTCTGTCAGGTTTTACAGGGCCGTGATTCTTTACAGTAGGTGTCTGTGACTTGTTGGTGATAAATTTCAATGATAAGCAATAACACACAGTTCCACTTGTTTTAAAAAAATGTATTAAAACAAGTTGAACATATATATATATAAGTGTTTGTTACACAGTTGTATCCAGAGAGCTTTAATTCTCTTTTACATCAAAAGTACAAAAGTTTAGTTAATTTAGAATTCGGTTGACAAGATGAATTATTATTCTCTACCCTGTTATTACAATACAATCTTTGATTATTACACTTTAAAAGTTGCCACTCTTTATGGTTAAACTTACAAACACAGTCTAGATATATTTGACTATATATCTCACTAACTTTGTTCTTACTTTCACTAACTTATTTACTTGGTTCGACCTATATATATATATACACACACACACACACACACAGAACCCAACTGAGGTCTAGAACTGTCTATAAACTATGAGACATTATGAAGTAACAATACTCACTTAAAGCAAAGAGAAAAATTCAGAAGTTTTGAATAACGTGAAGTCAATTCACAACAACTGAATTACACAACAAATAATTTGTAAACAGTTATGTAAGCAAACTTGCCATAACTATAGCTTCTAAAAATAACTTACTTTAATGTTCTTGCAATATAAACTAAATAATATTCTTGTCTTAAACTTAAAATGAACAGTCGTGTATATCTAACATCCTTTATTTTCTAAAATTTGTCTTGAAGTTATAAAATTAAGTTTCTAGACTGTTGTAATTCTCTCTTCATTTCTACATTCTCTTTTCTAATTTCTTCAGTCTCAAACCATACTTCCTTAAATTTTATGTACATGTTTTCTCTTTCTATTTATCATTCTTCTGTTTCTCTGTTCATTTCTGGTTTATTTAGTTTAGCAATTTGTGATCTTGAACCATCTTCAATGCTTTGAATGGTTCCAGTTGAAATGTATCTTCTGTACTACTCAAAAACTTTACCAACACATTCATACTATTCAACATCCACCTCATATTCTGATCAGTAAACTCTTCTTTCTTTTATAATTCAATAATTTAGAGCAATTCTGGACCATACAACTACTTGAGCTGTTAACTGTGTGTTGTGATTGTATTATGTATTCTTAGCTCATATCCAGGAACTATGAAAGTTTAGTTTATCATGACAAGTCTTTAAGTGAAAAACTCAAATGTCAACATTACAAATGGCATGTTATAGTATATGCAAGCCCTCAGCACATGTTCATTCAAAGACTTATAAAATCCCACAACATACAATGAATTAATGTATTGCTTCTCTTTTTTTTTGCATGTACTTGTTTTATTTATAAGGTTCTGAAAACCAACAATCTTGAGAGCACAGTCCAATAACTGTTTATATTTGAGCTACAATGTATCTGTTTATGTGGTTTTCACTAAACAGATATTGACTTCATAATCTAATTTTGTTTGTCTTTAACTTAACAAAGATCCTTGTAAGAGCAACTCTATTACACTTAGATTTTCTTCCAGCACCATCATAATTATATTATCATTACAATCAGTCAGTTAATAATGGCTGGAGACGGCTTGAATGGGTAATGAAGAAAAACTTTAATACAACAGCAAATGTACAACGTTCAGTCAGTTAATTTGTAAACTGTTTATTCTATTATACTGTCCTTGTTAGCTGTTAAGAAAACATAGAAACTATGCGATGAAAAGGAACCCACTTTGAGACTAATAATGGCTGGAGACGGCTTGAATGGGTAATGAAGAAACACTATAATATAAGTTTAACATAACAGC